CACACACACACACACACACACACACACACACACACACACACACACACCAAGAACCAGGGAAAGATTGGTGACGATTTCCTTTGTGGATTTTTATATGTGGTTTCCTAGCCTCGACATTTCAGGTTTATTTTTTCAGTATTTAGCTAAGGAACTTCTAACGTCCCATTATACCGGGAAGCAAATACATTAAGGAGAATGTAATTTCAGACAGTAATAAACTCCATGAAGAAAGGGAACAAGGTGATGTGATGGAGGGCAGCCTGGGGGAAGAAGAGCTAATTTATCACAACGTGTCAGGGAAGTCATCTGTTTCCCATCAGGCACCTGGGCATGAAGCTGTTTCCATCAGATGTGAACAGAATAAAGCATTCTGGGCAGTTGGAGAGGGAGGTACGGAAGCCTGGGTAAAAACAGGTTGGGGTGGACTGTGCTGAGTCAGCACAGCAATAAGAGAGTGTTGAGAGCCTTTGTGGGGTGGCTGGATGGCTGCAGATCAAGTAGGGCCAGGGTGTGATGAGAGTCTGGGCTTTTAGTCTGTCTGCAAGGAGAGTCTGTTGTGGGGATGAAGCCCAGACTGTCCGGATACGATTTGTATTTTTTATATGTCAGACAAGTAATGTCCTGATGCTATAACACAGTTTGAGAGGAGCCTATCCCTCATAGTGACACGAAAACTCAATCATCACATTTACGCATCACAAAAATGATCTCAGTGTATATTTCAAAGAGAACAATGACATGAAGACACAGGAGGAGGGCTGTTACAGAATAAAAGAGCCTGCGGGACAAAAGCAAGCACCATGTCCTGTCTCATTTACATCCTTATGGAAACCTCTTCGGAACAAACCCTGGAAACCTCAGTAGAGGTCAGTGTTCAATAATATTATTACTGATTTTTGTTAGGTGTAACGGTACCGTGGTTTTTAGGTTAAAGTCTGTAGTAGCTGGAGATACATAATGTGGAGATATTTCTGAGTGATGTGTCTGAGGTTCTCTTTGACATAGTCCACACACACACACAAAAGTAACTGTGGTTTCAGAGTCTCCCTGCTTGAGGGCTGCTTTCTTTTTTATATTTTGCTTTCTGTGTAATTGTGTGTGTGTTATGTGTGTGTGTGTAGTGGGTGTGCATGGTCATGAGGGCAGTGTTCATGGAACCCAGAATAAAGTGTCAGAGCCACTGCGTCTGGATTGGCAGGCAGTTGTGGGATGTGGGTGCTGGGAACTGAACTCACGTTCTCTGTAAGAACAGTATGTGTTTCTAACTGTTGAAACAGCTCTCCAGAGCCCTTCTCCCCAAACATAGTTCTAGGATAAGTTATAAATAAGAAGCTGTTGCATGGGGAGAATGACATGCAGGGGCCCGATATTAAAAAGGAAAACAAACTGCAAAATCAGTTTCGTCTATGACATGCTCACAACACAGATCCTTTTGTGACTCAAAAATGTGCAGGGCTTTCCCTTCACTGGCCAGCAGTAATCACTCCTGGAGCAGATTCTGCAGGAGGTCCTCTAAGTCAGTTCAGTTCCAATGCTTTCAACCTGGTGATAGCGGCAGATCTCAAAGCCCCCGGGGCTCATGCTGAAAGACCGTTCTCAGCGGAGATGCCAGCTGCCAAGTCTGGGCCTTTGGAACTTCTGATCAACTGGCTACAAACTGAAGTCCTTACAACCCCTTCTATGGGTTTGGTTAATTTGCTAGAGAGACTCAAAGAACTCAGCGATAGACAGTTACTGTTTTACTGTAAAAAATATTTTAAAGGAGACAAATAAGCAAAAGATGAAGAGACACAGGGACAGAAGTCAGGAAGCATCCTGAGCCCAAGATCTCACCCTGGAGGAGTTGGGAAGGGTGAATGAATGAATTCACCTGAATGAATTCCTGTTCATCTTCCTGTCAGCCTCCACATGTTCAGCCAACCCAAAGTTCCTCCCAGCCCTGCCTTTTGGGGCTTAATAGAGATTTCTTTGGATAAGTGGAACTGAAATATAGATGCCAATGTGGGAAGGTGATTAGACACAGAAAGGAGGAGCTAATGCTAACAGATGCAGTTGGGAAGCTGGCAGGGGTGTGTGTCCAGAATCCTCTGAGCTCCTTTTCTGTGCAGCTTTCCTTCCTCCAGGGCTGAGGGTGGGGGCCCTTCCAAAATGGACATCTCACAAACCGCTGTTAGAAAATTTTCATGTGGCCTGTTCTGAGACAGAAAGGCCTATGGTCCTCTTTGGGGAAGGGAAATTCTAACTTCAGAGGCTCGCCTTGCAGAGAAAAAGGAGTAGGTTAGAGGGAAAAACAATGCCCTCTGGACCACTTCTGGGGACTCAAACTACTTTCTATGCTGTAAAAGAAGGACTATTTTTTTCATTTTTATTGCTCTGAACCAGCTTCAGCCACTAAGCATAAGGTGCTTTTGTTATGATTCAACAAAAGTGCACACTCATTATTCTAGTCATTCAGGAAAGCAACAAGGGTTATCATGGGAACTGAGAGCCAGGACCTGTGGTAGGGAAACAAAATGTATATATCATGCTATCACACGGGGACAAGCGAGTAGGCAGAGGCTGGCTAACCGCTCTTTGCAGTAATCTAAAAAGGCCAGGGAGTGGGTAAGACTGGTAGGGGTGAGCCGGAGAAGGCAACAGTGATAGAGCTGACAGAGCTCGCAGAGCCAGTGTGAGGAACGTGATCACAGTCCTGGCAAGACTGATATGAAAGTGGCTTTGGGCACAACGCTGAGAAACACAGGTCTTCAATTTACTCATGGTTAGATCAATTATGCAAACACGTGTTCATCTCTAGAACTACGACGTCAGCATTTAGGAAGCTTTCATTCAGCCCGAAGTTTTGGACCCAGCAAAGGAACTTCAGCCTGCCTGAGGTCTACCTATTGGTGGCTGTCTGTTGGTGAGCCATTTGTTTCTGGTGTCACTTTTCTTTTCCTATCGGGACAACTGGTAATACAAATGCAGTTTGTCACCATGTACCTGCCAGTGGCATGGGTTCCCTGGACAGAACCTAATTTAATTAATGTCTTTTTCCCATGAGGCTGTCCACCCCCTGTATGGAAAGTGCTTGTGTTACTAACATGCCCTGATTTCTTAGCACTAAATAATAATAAAAACAACAACAATAGCAGCAGTGCTCTTATTGATAAAGAGGCTCTGAGTGGCGCCAGGAATCAGATAATGCCGTGAGACAAACAAATCTCACTCCTCTCAAGCAGCCACTGTTTAATCCACTCTCTATTTATTCTGCCATCCACCCTGACCCTCAATTTCCACCCTCTGCTTGGCCTACCTTGTCATGCTGTTCTCTAGAAAATCAGGTCACCCTGTACCTAACTTCTCCCTGGCCAATGATTTTTTAGCTGCTTCCTGAGCCCGCTGTGTTGTATCTGATCCTCGCTCAGCCCCAGCTATGCGCACTGCCATTAGGAACATTATAAATCACCACTTAAGGACCATGATACCTACATTAATGGTTGGAACAAAAAGTCACCCCCTCCCTGTGTCCAAGTGGCAGTTACAAGCTCCCGGAACAGGCTCTCCGCTGTCTTCTTAACAAGTTCAGCATCTTGTGAGTTAGGGTCTCAGTTTTTCACACCACTCACAGCACATCTCTCTTCAGAGCACTCTTGCTTCTCCTCTTCTCTCTGCTACCAGAGATGGGGACCCGCTTACCAACCACGGGGTTTTCCCAACAGGAACCAGACACAGCCACTTGCTAGCAGATAAAACACTTAATATATTTAGAGCACATTTTCTTATAAGTAAATAAGAGTGTTGTTTTCTTCTTTACTTTTTTCCTTAACATTGTGCCAGGGTTGGAAGACTTTGGGGATGATCCCAAAACATACTTATATCTTTCATAGGAAAAATAGGGGTCCCTATATAGTCATGAGCAATCGTTGTAATGATGAAGTATTTACATGGGGCATGTTATACATGTATGTGCGCATGCATATATGTGTTCTTTTACAACAATGAATAGCATATGCCTCAAGTATAATGATAAAAAGACAGTTTTGTATATCTTTATTATCTCCCCCTCTTTTTTTGAGACAAGGTCTGATGTAGTCCAAGGTGGTCTTGAACTTGGTATGTAGCAGATGATGACATTGAACTCCTGATCCTTCTTGCCTCTGCTTTCTGTGTGCTGGGATGATTGGCATGAGCCACCACATCCACCTAAAAAGTTCCTGTGACACAGACAGGCAAAGGAACAGGCACTTGCAATACAGAATGATAGGAACTATAATAGTAACAAGTCCTTTATGAGAACACACAGAAAGCACACTAATGAGGTTCAAGGTGGGTCAGACAGGGACTCCTGGAGAGGCTGTGGGCTTGGCGCATCTAAAAAGATGGAAAACAGGGATTCTGGGAGGTAAACAAAACAAAACAAAACAAAAAACTATTCAGACAGGGTCTATCTAAGAGTGAAGCCAAACAGGAAGGCTTAAAAGTAGGCAGAAATCACATGACAAAAGGGGCTAGAACACTGGCGTGCCACTGAAAGTTTTAAGCAGGGGACCATATAAGCAGATTTGTCTGGATGCCGCATGGGAAATATCCGTCATGAGAAAGATGAGCTAAAAAAGATCACCTGGAAGGCGGCTAGGGTAAACTAGTCAAGAGTATAATTGCCTGGTCCAAGATAGCGCTGGACGGTTGCACAGAATGACATGGGCTCAAGAGATATTTGGGAGGTAAAAATCAATAAGACTTGATGTTTACTTAGATATAAGGGCCGGAGCAGAAGAAACAGTGAAGGGCAAAACACTCATTATATTTGGATAAACACAGGGCCAGTGGTGCCACCTACCGAGATCACAGTCACGGACAGAGAAGGGGGGCTGGGAGTGGAGAGGTGATAATTTCAATCTGGGATGTAACATGGCTTGGTGGACTTTAGACTCTGTGAGATGTACATACATGCAAAGACAGCTACTGAGACATTCTGCTATTTATATTTTATGATGAATTCTTGGATGCCCATAATTCCAGAAAAAGGACCGAATTACAGGCTGTGTGGCTCTCCCATGACTGCCAGTGAGGACTAGACGTGGGACAACAGCAGCAGAAACAGCAGCAGCCAATACGCTGGCTAACCGGTAACTTGTGTGGTCAGGTTCGAGTAAATGAATGTCAACCAGTCTGTCTCTGGAGAGTTTCAACCAAGCTACCCAGGACTTCCAGACACACAGATAACGGCATGAGACTCTCCTTTGGGCTTGGGCTGTGGCAGCTGTCAGAGGGATTTGTAATTTGCTGAGATGGCAGCAAGTTGCCACCTTCTATTGTTTTCCTAAGAGACTTGAAAAGAGAAAAAGATTGGAAACCAAATCACCACCCCTGAGTCTCTGAAAGAGAAAGACACATAGACAGACAGAGACAGGAAAAGAGGAGACACCTGGCTTTTTTGTGGCTTTCAGTATCTGATTCTTTAAACATGACTAAGTGTGCACGTACATACACACTTTCTTACACGTATTACATGTTGAATACTGTGATGGTTATTTGCTTGTCAACTTGGCTACGTCTGGAATTAACTAAAACCCAAGAGGCTGGGTACACCTGCGATGAATTTTTCTTAATTACATGATTCAAAGTGGGAAGACCCTCCTTTAATCCGATCTTTGAGGTGGGAAGATCCGACTCAAATCTGGGTCACACATTTTGTTGGCGGCCTATACAAAGGACATGGAAGA